TCTAGTCTATAGTCTAGTCTAGTCTAGTCTATAGTCTAGTCTATAGTCTAGTCTATAGTCTAGTCTATAGTCTAGTCTATAGTCTAGTCTATAGTCTAGTCTATAGTCTAGTCTAGTCTAGTCTAGTCTAGTCTATAGTCTAGTCTATAGTCTAGTCTATAGTCTAGTCTATAGTCTAGTCTATAGTCTAGTCTAGTCTAGTCTATAGTCTAGTCTACAGTCTAGTCTATAGTCTAGTCTACAGTCTAGTCTATAGTCTAGTCTAGTCTATAGTCTAGTCTACAGTCTAGTCTATAGTCTAGTCTACAGTCTAGTCTATAGTCTAGTCTATAGTCTAGTCTAGTCTAGTCTATAGTCTAGTCTAGTCTAGTCTATAGTCTAGTCTATAGTCTAGTCTATAGTCTAGTCTATAGTCTAGTCTGTAGTCTAGTCTATAGTCTAGTCTATAGTCTAGTCTATAGTCTAGTCTATAGTCTAGTCTATAGTCTAGTCTATAGTCTAGTCTATAGTCTAGTCTATAGTCTAGTCTATAGTCTAGTCTATAGTCTAGTCTATAGTCTAGTCTATAGTCTAGTCTATAGTCTAGTCTATAGTCTAGTCTATAGTCTAGTCTATAGTCTAGTCTATAGTCTAGTCTAGTCTATAGTCTAGTCTATAGTCTAGTCTAGTCTATAGTCTAGTCTATAGTCTAGTCTATAGTCTAGTCTAGTCTAGTCTAGTCATAGTCTAGTCTATAGTCTAGTCTACAGTCTAATCTATAGTCTAGTCTATAATCTAGTCTATAGTCTAGTCTATAGTCTAGTCTATAATCTAGTCTATAGTCTAGTCTATAGTCTAGTCCATAGTCTAGTCAATAGTCTAGTCTATAGTCTAGTCTATAGTCTAGTCTATAGTCTAGTCCATAGTCTAGTCTATAGTCTAGTCTATAGTCTAGTCTATAGTCTAGTCTATAGTCTAGTCTATAGTCTAGTCTATAGTCTAGTCTATAGTCTAATCTATAGTCTAGTCTATAATCTAGTCTATAGTCTAGTCTATAATCTAGTCTATAGTCTAGTCTATAGTCTAGTCTATAGTCTAGTCTATAGTCTAGTCTATAATCTAGTCTATAATCTAGTCTATAATCTAGTCTATAATCTAGTCTATAGTCTAGTCTATAGTCTAGTCTATAGTCTAGTCTATAGTCTAGTCTATAGTCTAGTCTAGTCTAGTCTATAGTCTAGTCTATAGTCTAGTCTATAGTCTAGTCTATAGTCTAGTCTATAGTCTAGTCTATAGTCTAGTCTATAGTCTAGTCTATAGTCTAGTCTATAGTCTAGTCTATAGTCAGTATAGTCTAGTAGTCTAGTCTATAGTCTAGTCTATAGTCTAGTCTATAGTCTAGTCTATAGTCTAGTCTATAGTCTAGTCTATAGTCTAGTCTATAGTCTAGTCTATAGTCTAGTCTATAGTCTAGTCTATAGTCTAGTCCTATGCTAGTCTATAGTCTAGTCTATAGTCTAGTCTATAGTCTAGTCTATAGTCTAGTCTATAGTCTAGTCTATAGTCTAGTCTATAGTCTAGTCTATAGTCTAGTCTATAGTCTAGTCTATAGTCTAGTCTATAGTCTAGTCTATAGTCTAGTCTATAGTCTAGTCTATAGTCTAGTCTATAGTCTAGTCTATAGTCTAGTCTATAGTCTAGTCTATAGTCTAGTCTATAGTCTAGTCTATAGTCTAGTCTATAGTCTAGTCTATAGTCTAGTCTATAGTCTAGTCTATAGTCTAGTCTATAGTCTAGTCTATAGTCTAGTCTATAGTCTAGTCTATAGTCTAGTCTATAGTCTAGTCTATAGTCTAGTCTATAGTCTAGTCTATAGTCTAGTCTATAGTCTAGTCTATAATCTAGTCTATAGTCTAGTCTATAGTCTAGTCTATAGTCTAGTCTATAGTCTAGTCTATAGTCTAGTCTATAGTCTAGTCTATAGTCTAGCCTATAGACTAGTCCATAGTCTAGTCAATAGTCTAGTCAATAGTCTAGTCCATAGTCTAGTCAATAGTATAGTGTATACTGTACTTACTTACTTATTTTTTATAATTTATTCAAGTCCAGACTTGTTTCCTTAACCCTATTAATTTATTTTTCTCTCTCTCTCTTTTTTAGAAAAAGAAGAAGCGTATTATCGATAGCGAAGATGATGATGACTCTGATTTTGAGGCTTAAACAAATTAATACTTTTTTTAATTTTAATAAATATACATATAATAATTTTACAAAATAAGGGAAAATTACAAAAATATCTTCTAATTTTAAAACATACAAACGTCTCTTAAGTCTGTCCCGCTCATATAGCCTGCCCTTACACTCCCCTTATCCATGGCCTATAGTAAAGAAACTCCTTGGATTTCTTTCCATATGTGTTTTAAATTTGTTTTAAATGTGAACGTATTATTACTTACTCTTTTAATTATATTTTAATTTAAATTAAATGAAAGAAATATGCTTAATTTTTCAACACATGTTAATTAAACTCAGATGTTTTTTTTTTTTCATTTTAAATATAATTATTTTATTTATTCATTATTAAAATTAAACAATAATCTACTACCAACAGCTCTATTAGAAACAAAAATTAAAGCATTTTATTTTGCCATGAAACCTTCAAAATATTTCATACATTTTCTTCTTTCACTTCTATCATTTTAATGTTTAAATTATTAAACAAATTATCAATTTAAAACTTAAAATTATTTTTTTTAAATTTATTTCTTTATTTTTTTTGTGTATAATCCTTTTAGTTTTTTGTAAATACATTATTTTAATATGATTTCTTAAACATTTTTATTTGAAAAGAAATAAATTTTTATCCAAAATCAACCCATAAATAAGTCTTTAATAAAAGAATTTCAATTGTAGTTCTTTCTTTTTCCTAAATTAATTTGCTTTTATAAAATTGTCTTATATTAAAACATTTTTCGTAAAATAAAACTTAAAATATTCAAATAAAAAGTTAAGATCTTGATTTTATAGGACAAGCGAATATAAACAAACCCCGAACAAACTCGAAAAAAAAAAATATTTAACACTCATTACTGATTATAAAATAATAAAAAATATCATTTTAAATAAAAAAGGAAAAATAATTTTTTAATTAAAAATTAAAATTTGATTTTTTTTTAACAAATTTTAAATAAATTTAGGGGAATAGAAAAACTAGACTACAATTGGGACTGTAAACTAAATTATAGTTCTGACTATAGACTAAATTATAGTCCGGACTATAGACCAGACTATAGACTATAGTCCAGACTTTAGACTATAGCCCAGACTATAGTCCAGGGCCCAAATTATGGCATATGATATCGATCGAAATCTCAATAGAATCTAAATGGAGATTTCGATCGATATCGTATGCCGTAATTTGGCCCCAGACTTTAGACTATAGCCCAGACTATAGACTATAGTCCAGACTATAGACTATAGTCCAGACTATAGACTATAGTCCAGACTATAGACTATAGTCCAGACTATAGACTATAGTCCAGACTATAGACTATAGTCCAGACTATAGACTATAGTCCAGACTATAGACTATAGTCCAGACTATAGACTATAGTCCAGACTATAGACTATAGTCCAGACTATAGACTATAGTCCAGACTATAGTCTATAGTCCAGACTATAGTCTATAGTCCAGACTATAGTCTATAGTCCAGACTATAGTCTATAGTCCAGACTATAGTCTATAGTCCAGACTATAGTCTATAGTCCAGACTATAGTCTATAGTCCAGACTATAGTCTATAGTCCAGACTATAGTCTATAGTCCAGACTATAGTCTATAGTCCAGACTATAGTCTATAGTAAAGACTATAGACTGCAGTCAAGACTATAGGCTATAGTCCAGACAATAGACTATAGGCATTAATCCAGACTATAGACTATAGTCCAGACTATAGTCCAGACTATAGACTATAGTCCAGACTATAGACTATAGTCCAGACTATAGACTATAGTCCAGACTATAGTCTATAGTAAAGACTATAGACTACAGTCAAGACTATAGGCTATAGTCCAGACTATAGACTATAGTCCAGACAATAGACTATAGTCCAGACTATATACTATAGTCCAGACTATAGACTATAGTCCAGACTATATACTATAGTCCAGACTATAGACTATAGTCCAGACTATAGACTATAGTCCAGACTGTAGACTATAGTCCAGACTATAGACTATAGTCCAGACTATAGACTATAGTCCAGACTATAGACTATAGTCCAGACTATAGACTATAGTCCAGACTATAGACTATAGTCCAGACTATAGACTATAGTCCAGATTATAGACTATAGTCCAGACTATAGACTATAGTCCAGACTATAGTCTATAGTAAAGACTATAGACTACAGTCAAGACTATAGGCTATAGTCCAGACTATAGACTATAGTCCAGACAATAGACTATAGACATTAATCCAGACTATAGTCAGGACTATAGACTATAGTCCAGACTATAGATATTAATCCAGACTATAGTCAGGACTATAGTCCAGACTATAGTCCAGACTATAGAATATAGTCCAGACTATAGTCTATAGTCCAGACTATAGTCTATAGTCCAGACTATAGTCTATAGTCCAGACTATAGTCTATAGTCCAGACTATAGTCTATAGTAAAGACTATAGACTGCAGTCAAGACTATAGGCTATAGACATTAATCCAGACTATAGTCAGGACTATAGACTATAATCCGGACTATAGTCCAGACATTAGACTATATATATATATATATATATATATATATATATATATATATATATATATATATATATATATATATATATATATGTATATATATATATATATATATATATAGATATATATATATATATATATATATATATATATATATATATAGTCCAGACTATAGACTAAACTGTAGCCCCGATTATAGACTAAACTATAGGCCAGACTATAGACTAACTATACTCCAAACTATAGAATAAAAAATAGTCCACACTATAAACTATACTTCAGACTATACACTAAACTATAGTCTAGACTACATACTAAACTGTAGGCCCAACTATAGACTAAACTATAATCCAGACTATAGGCTATAGTCTAGACTATAGCCTTAAATCTTGACTACAGTTTACTCAATAAATTTGACTATAGTTTGGATGGTTCAGACAAGTTTATGGACTAAACTTTAGTCAAGCCTATAAAAAAAAAAACTTCGACTCGAGTTCGCTGGCTTCAATACAGACGGAGAGAAGGTCTCATAAAATCTCTAGATTCATTTAAAATATATTTCTTTTGTAACTCTTTATTTTAATCAAAAATCTTTATCAAAATATATAAATACTTCTTTGAAAGTTTCCCTGATTAGACTTGTCGCTGTGATTTGAAATTTCTTAGATTTTAGAAAGAAAATTTCTTTTTTGATTTTGTAAATATTTCTTTTAATGATTTCTAGAAGTGAACATGATGAAAGACAAAATGAAATACTGTGACAAAGTCTGTTTAATTAACATAAGCTCTTTTAGAATTTGCTTAAATTCTGTTTAAACTAATTTGGACTATGCGTGCTTATCTAAAGAAACATTTTTAAAGATTTGTTACTAATTTATTTATATGTATAATAATTGAATACTATGCCTGTCTTGAGACAAGCCATATTTTGTATACTTTTAGTTGTTTAAGTTAAATTCTTTGTATTTTTTTGTAAAGTGCAGTAAAATAGTGTTTATTTTTAAAACATTTTTATATTTTTTGTTGTTATATTTGTTTTCTTCTTTTTTTTTAATTTTCACTAAAAGTGCTTATTTAATTTTTATAAAAATTACATGCATTATAATTCTTTTAAAAAAGCAGACATATATTTTTGTATTTCTTATTATAAAATGCGAAATTAACGTTTTTTTATGCAAAAGAAAACTTATAAAATACATAGGCAAACAAATAGCAGAGGTTGAGGAAAAAGAAATTTTTAAATTTAGAATTTCAAAATGAAAATAAACCAAACTAAGGTCAAGATGGGAGACTAAACTGTAGATTACAGTTTAGACTATAGACTAAACTATAATGTAGTCTATAAGCTAAACTATAGTCCAAACTACAGGCTAAACTATAGTCCTGACTACATAACTATTAAAACATAACTTCAACTTAAAATATTGAATAAAACATTCCATGTATTTCAGTTAAAAGCTCCATAATCATATAAATAAATACAAAATTATTAAAAAAACTAGTGAATACTTAAGAAAAATATATAAAAACTTATTTTTTTCAAATAAGCAAAGAAGTATAAAAAGAATTCTTAAAATTATTACAATTTAAATATAAATAAAACCTAAAAAATCTTTTAAGGAACACAATCAATTCAACCTCTGTTGACATCTCTTTCTCACACTACCACCACCTTAATACAAACTAGTTTTCTTCATAATACGTAAAAATTCATCTTGATTCACTTCACCATCATTATCCAAATCTGCCTCATCGATCATTTCTCTTAACTCCTCGTCCGTTAAAGTTTCTCCCAGTTCTCGTGCTACACGTTTTAGATTCTTAAATGAAATTTTACCAGTATCATCGTCATCGAATAAACGGAATGCTTTGAGTATCTCTTCCTTTGTATCCTTTTCAGCCATTTTCATGGTCATCAAATGCAAAAAATCGTTGTAGCTAATGCGTCCTGTGCCATCTTTATCGATTTCAGCAATCATGCGTTTAATTTCCTCTTTTTTGGGTTCGAAACCTAAGGCTCTTATGGCCACCTTAAGCTCTTTCACCTCTATAAAACCCGTGCAATCAACATCGAACAGATCAAATGCTTCTTTTATATCGGCCTTTTGGGCATCGGATAATTCAAATTTTGGACCAGATTTTTTGCGTCCTCCAGCTGTGTTTACTGAAGCATTGGTGTTACGTTTGGCCGTGTTACTAGGATTGGTGGTAGCAGTACGTTCCATGGCTGCGCTACTGTCCATTTTAAATACACAAAACGCACTAAATGTGTTACTAAAAAGGTGTTTTGTTTAAATATTTTCCGCTTACCTTTTTGTTTTCTATTATTTGCTTTAAATAAATAATATTTTGTCTACACAGGTATCCTTGGTCACCGCTATTTGTTTCGTAATTATGTTAATGTCCTTTTCTTTGTCGTGTATAATAAATTTTAATGATTTTTCAATGTTTTCTGGTGTTTTTCTTTTTGTTTCTAATCAGCCAGATGACATGTATTTCCTTGTTTTCTTTAATTATTTTCGTTTTATTTTATGTGGGAAGTTATATTAAACTCACCCTTAAATTTGTATTTATATTATATTTTTATTTATTATAGCAATTAAACTAACAGGTTGTTACTATTTTTAGGCAAAATATCCTTTACAAAAGGATTCTTCCAACAATTTGTGCACAAAACCAAAGTTTGTTTGAAACAGTATAGATAATCTAGCGATTTTTGTAACTATTTAAACATTTGCGAAAGCTAAAACAAAACAAATCTTAATAAAATTTCAATACAACAATAATAAAAACTATGAAATAACTTTTTGAAACATTTTTACTAATACATTAAACATAATTTTAACAAATTTAATAATTTTTTTAACAAAAATATGTACAAATGCATAAATTTCATTAAGCGTTTGATTACAAGCCAAAGTTGTCAACACTTAACATATGGTAGACATTTAATATTGCCATATTGACAACAGACATTTTTATCTACAGTGGCAATCTTGTTTAAATGTAAACAAAACATGTTAGAGCTGCCGGACTGTTCAATAGCAAGCAAAAACGTTAAATTAAAAATTAGTTAGTCTCTGGTGGAAATCGAACCCACTACCTACAAATCTATCGGAAGCATATTATATCAAACACTTTAGAACGGCCCTTTTGAAATACATAGTAGCGAACTACATACATACATCAATAAGTAGATACTTAAATAACACTCCAATTTTAAGTAAAGAAAATAACGAAAATCTGTGATCCAAAAATCGATTTTTATATGAGAAACCTTAAATCGGCTGTAGTTTCTTAAATAACGCTCCAATTAGGAAAATAACGAAAATCTGTGATCACTCTTATATTCCACCAAAAATCGCTTTTTATAAGAGAAACCTAAAAACGGCTGTAGTTTCTTCTATTATTTGCTTTAAATAAATAATATTTTGTCTACACAGGTATCCTTGGTCACCGCTATTTGTTTCGTAATTATGTTAATGTCCTTTTCTTTGTCGTGTATAATAAATTTTAATGATTTTTCAATGTTTTCTGGTGTTTTTCTTTTTGTTTCTAATCAGCCAGATGACATGTATTTCCTTGTTTTCTTTAATTATTTTCGTTTTATTTTATGTGGGAAGTTATATTAAACTCACCCTTAAATTTGTATTTATATTATATTTTTATTTATTATAGCAATTAAACTAACAGGTTGTTACTATTTTTAGGCAAAATATCCTTTACAAAAGGATTCTTCCAACAATTTGTGCACAAAACCAAAGTTTGTTTGAAACAGTATAGATAATCTAGCGATTTTTGTAACTATTTAAACATTTGCGAAAGCTAAAACAAAACAAATCTTAATAAAATTTCAATACAACAATAATAAAAACTATGAAATAACTTTTTGAAACATTTTTACTAATACATTAAACATAATTTTAACAAATTTAATAATTTTTTTAACAAAAATATGTACAAATGCATAAATTTCATTAAGCGTTTGATTACAAGCCAAAGTTGTCAACACTTAACATATGGTAGACATTTAATATTGCCATATTGACAACAGACATTTTTATCTACAGTGGCAATCTTGTTTAAATGTAAACAAAACATGTTAGAGCTGCCGGACTGTTCAATAGCAAGCAAAAACGTTAAATTAAAAATTAGTTAGTCTCTGGTGGAAATCGAACCCACTACCTACAAATCTATCGGAAGCATATTATATCAAACACTTTAGAACGGCCCTTTTGAAATACATAGTAGCGAACTACATACATACATCAATAAGTAGATACTTAAATAACACTCCAATTTTAAGTAAAGAAAATAACGAAAATCTGTGATCCAAAAATCGATTTTTATATGAGAAACCTTAAATCGGCTGTAGTTTCTTAAATAACGCTCCAATTAGGAAAATAACGAAAATCTGTGATCACTCTTATATTCCACCAAAAATCGCTTTTTATAAGAGAAACCTAAAAACGGCTGTAGTTTCTTCAATAACGCTCCAATTAAGAAAATAACGAAAATCTGTGATCACTCTCATATTCCACCAAAAATCGATTTTTATATGAGAAACCTAAAATCGGCTGTAGTTTCTTAAATAACGCTCCAATTAAGAAAATAACGAAAATCTGTGATCACTCTCATATTCCACCAAAAATCGATTTTTACCTAAGATCGGCTGTAGTTTCTTAAATAACGCTCCAATTAAGAAAATAATGAAAATCTGTGATCACTCTCATATTCCACCAAAAATCGATTTTTATAAAAGAAACCTAAAATCGGCTGTAGCTCCAATTAAGAAAATAACGAAAATCTGTGATCACTCTCATATCCCACCGAAAATCGATTTTTATATGAGAAACCTAAAATCGGCTGTAGTTTCTTAAAGAACGCTCTAATTAAGCAAATAACGAAAACCTGTGATCACTCTCATATCCCACCGAAAATCGATTTTTATATGAGAAACCTAAAATCGGCTGTAGTTTCTTAAATAACGCTCCAATTAAGAAAATAACGAAAATCTGTGATCACTCTCATATTCCACCAAAAATCGATTTTTATGTGAGAAATCTTAAATCGGCTGTAGTTTCTTAAATAACGCTCCAATTAAGAAAATAATGAAAATCTGTGATCACTCTCATATCCAACCAAAAATCGATTTTTATATGAGAAACATAAAATCGGCTGTAGTTTCTTAAATAACGCTCCAATTAAGAAAATAATGAAAATCTGTGATCATTGTGATCATATTCCACCAAAAATCGATTTTTATATGAGAAATCTTAAATCGGCTGTAGTTTCTTAAATAACGCTCCAATTAAGAAAATAACGAAAATCTGTTATTACTCTCATATTCCACCAAAAATCGATTTTTATATGAGAAACCTAAAATCGGATGTAGTTTCTTAAATAACGCTCCAATTAAGAAAATAACGAAAATCTGTGATCAATCTCTTATTCCACCAAAAATCGATTTTTATATGAGAATTCTTAAATCGGCTGTAATTTCTTAAATAACGCTCCAATTAAAAAATAACGAAAATCTGTGATCACTCTCATATTCCACCAAAAATCGATTTTTTATATGGGAGACCTTAAATCGGCTGTAGTTTCTTAAATAACGCTCCAATTAAGAAAATAACGAAAATCTGTGATCACTCTCATAATCCATCTAAAATAAATTTTTATATGAGAAACCTCAAATCGGCTGTAGTTTCTTAAATAACGCTCCAATTAAGAAAATAACGAAAATCTGTGATCACTCTCACATTCCACCAAAAATCGATTTTTATATGAGAAACCTAAAATCGGCTGTAGTTTCTTAAATAACGCTCCAATTAAGAAAATAATGAAAATATGTGATCACTTTCATATTCGACCAAAAATCAATTTTTATATGAGAAATCTTAAATCGGCTGTAGTTTCTTAAATAACGCTCCAATTAAGAAAATAATGAAAATCTGTGATCACTCTCATATTCCACCAAAAATCGATTTTTTATATGGGAAACCTTAAATCGGCTGTAGTTTCTTAAATAACGCTCCAATTAAGAAAATAACGAAAATCTGTGATCACTCTCAAATCCCATCAAAAATTCGATTTTTATATGAGAAATTTTAAGTCGGCTGTAGTTTCTTAAATAACGCTCCAATTAAGAAAATTGGATTTTTATATGAGAAACCTAAAATCGGCTGTAGTTTCTTTAATAACGCTCCAATTAAGAAAATAATGAAAATCTGTGATCACTCTCATATTCCCCCTAAAATCGATTTTTATATGAGAAACCTTAAATCGGCTGTAGTTTCTTAAATAACGCTCCAATTAAGAAAGTAATTAAAATCTGTGATCATTCTCATATTCCACCAAAAATCGATTTTTATATGAGAAACCTTAAATCGGCTGTAGTTTCTTAAATAACGCTCCAATTAAGAAAATAACGAAAATCTGTGATCACTCTCATATCCCACCAAAAATCGATTTTTATATGAGAAAACTAAAATCGGCTGTATTTTCTTAAATAATGCTCCAAATAAGAAAATAACGAAAATCTGTGATCACTCTCATATTCCACCAAAAATCGATTTTTATATGAGAAACCTAAAATCGGCTGTAGTTTCTTAAATAACGCTCCAATTAAGAAAATAATGAAAATCTGTGATCACTCTCATATTCCACCAAAAATCGATTTTTATATGAGATATCTTAAATCGGCTGTAGTTTCTTAAATAACGCTCCAATTAGGAAAATAATGAAAATCTGTGATCACTCTCATATTCCATCAAAAATTGATTTTTATAAGAGAAACCTAAAATCGGCTGTAGTTTCTTAAATAACGTTCCAATTAAGAAAATAATGAAAATCTGTGATCACTCTCATATTCCACCAAAAATCGATTTTTATATGAGATATCTTAAATCAGCTGTTGTTTCTTAAATAACGCTCCAATTAGGAAAATAACGAAAATCTGTGATCACTCTCATATTCCACCAAAAATTTATTTTTATAAGAGAAACCTAAAATCGGCTGTAGTTTCTTAAATAACGCTCCAATTAAGAAAATAACGAAAATCTGTGATCACTCTCATATTCCACCAAAAATCGATTTTTATATGAGAAACCTAAAATCAGCTGTAGTTTCTTAAATAACGCTCCAATTGAGAAAATAATGAAAATCTGTGATCACTCTCATATCCCACCAAAAATCGATTTTTATATGAGAAACCTTAAATAGGCTGTAGTTTCTTAAATAACGATCCAATTAAGAAAATAACGAAAATCTGTGATCACTCCCACCAAAAATCGATCTTTATGTGAGAAAACTAAAATCGGCTGTAGTTTCTTAAATAACGCTCTAATTAAGCAAATAACGAAAACCTGTGATCACTCTCATATCCCACCGAAAATAGATTTTTATATGAGAAACCCAAAATCGGCTGTAGTTTCTTAAATAACGCTCCAATTAAGAAAATAACGAAAATCTGTGATCACTCTCATATTCTACCCAAAATCGATTTTTATATGAGAAATCTTAAATCGGCTGTAGTTTCTTAAATAACGATCCAATTAAGAAAATAACGAAAATCTGTGATCACTCTCATATCGCACCAAAAATCGATCTTTATGTGAGAAACCTAAGATCGGCTGTAGTTTCTTAAATAACGCTCTAATTAAGCAAATAACGAAAACCTGTGATCACTCTCATATCCCACCGAAAATAGATTTTTATATGAGAAACCTAAAATCGGCTGTAGTTTCTTAAATAACGCTCCAATTAAGAAAATAACGAAAATCTGTGATCACTCTCATATTCTACCAAAAATCTATTTTTATATGAGAAGTCTTAAATCGGCTGTAGTTTCTTAAATAACGCTCCAATTAAGAAAATAACGAAAATCTGTGATCACTCTCATATTCCACCTAAAATCGGTTTTTATATGAGAATTCCTAAATCGGCTGTAGTTTCTTAAATAACGCTCCAATTAAGAAAATAACGAAAATCTGTGATCACTCTCATATCCCACCAAAAATCGATTTTTATATGAGAAACCTTAAATCGGCTGTAGTTTCTTAAATAATGCAAATAACGAAAATCTGTGATCACTCTCATATTCCACCAAAAATAGATTTTTATATGAGAATTCCTAAATCGGCTGTAGTTTCTTAATTAACGCTCCAATTAAGAAAATAACGAAAATCTGTGATCACTCTCATATTCCACCAAAAATAGATTTTTATATGAGAAACCTAAAATCGGCTGTAGTTTCTTAAATAACGCTCCAATTAAGAAAATAACGAAAATCTGTGATCACTCTCATATCCCACCAAAAATCGATTTTTATATGAGAAACCTAAGATCGGCTGTAGTTTCTTAAATAACGCTCTAATTAAGCAAATAACGAAAATCTGTGATCACTCTCATATTCCACCAAAAATAGATTTTTATATGAGAATTCCTAAATCGGCTGTAGTTTCTTAATTAACGCTCCAATTAAGAAAATAACGAAAATTTTTATATGAGAAATCTTAAATCGGCTGTAGTTTCTTAAATAACGCTCCACTTAAAAAAATATTGAAAATCTGTGATCACTCTCATATTCCACCTAAAATCGATTTTTATATGAGAAACCTTAAATCGGCTGTAGTTTCTTAAATAACGCTCCAATTAGGAAAATAACGAAAATCTGTGATCACTCTCATATCCCACCGGAAATAGATTTTTATATGAGAAACCTAAAATCGGCTGTAGTTTCTTAAATAACGCTCCAATTAAGAAAAGAGTGAAAATCTGTGATCACTGTCATTTTCCACCAAAAATCTATTTTTATATGAGAAATCTTAAATCGGCTGTAGTTTCTTTAATAACGTTCTAATTAAGAAAATAACGAAAATCTGTGATCACTCTCATATTCCACCTAAAATCGATTTTTATATGAGAATTCCTAAATCGGCTGTAGTTTCTTAAATAACGCTCCAATTAAGAAAATATCTGTGATCACTCTCATATTCCACCAAAAATCGGTTTTTTATATGGGAAACCTTAAATCGGCTGTAGTTTCTTAAATAACGCTCCAATTAAGAAAATAGTGAAAATCTGTGATCAATCTTTTATGTGAGAAATCTTAAATCGGCTGTAGTTTCTTAAATAACGCCCCAATTAAGAAAGTAACGACAATTTGTGATCACTCTCATATTCCACCAAAAATCGATTTTTATATGAGAAACCTAAAATCGGCTGTAGTTTCTTAAATAACGCTCCAATTAAGAAAATAATGAAAATCTGTGATCACTCTCATATTCCCACCTAAAATCGATTTTTATATGAGAATTCTTAAATCGGCTGTAGTTTCTTAAATAACGCTCCAATTAAGAAAATAACGAAAATCTGTGATCACTCTCATATTCTCCAAAAATCGATTTTTATATGAGAAACCTAAAATCGGCTGTAGTTTCTTTAATAACGCTCCAATTAGGAAAATAACGAAAATCTGTGATCACTCTCATATTCCACCAAAAATCGATTTTTATATGAGAAACCTTAAATAGGCTGTAGTTTCTTAAATAACGATCCAATTAAGAAAATAACGAAAATCTGTGATCACTCTCATATTCTCCAAAAATCGATTTTTATAAGAGAAACCTAAAATCGGCTGTAGTTTCTTAAATAACGCTCCAATTAAGAAAATAACGAAAATCTGTGATCACTTTCATATTCCACCAAAAATAGATTTTTATGCGAGAAATCTTAAATTGGCTGTAGTTTCTTAAATAACGCTCCAATTAAGAAAATAACGAAAATCTGTGATCACTCTCATATTCTACCAAAAATCGATTTTTATATGAGAAATCTTAAATCGGCTGTAGTTTCTTAAATAACGCTCCAATTAAGAAAATAACGAAAATCTGTGATCACTCTCATATTCCATCAAAAATCGATTTTTATAAGAGAAACCAAAAATCGGCTGTAGTTTCTTAAATAACCAAAAATCGATTTTTATATGAGTAACCTAAAATCGGCTGTAGTTTCTTAAATAACGCTACAATTAAGAAAATAACGAAAATCTGTGATCACTCTCATATTCCACCAAAAATCGATTTTTATATGAGAAATCTTAAATCGGCTGTTTTTCTTAAATAACGCTCCAATTAAGAAATTAACGAAAATCTGTGATCACTCTCATATTCCACCTAAAATCGATTTTTATATGAGAATTCCTAAATCGGCTGTAGTTTCTTAAATAACGCTCCAATTAAGAAAATAATGAAAATCTGTGATCACTCTCATATCCCACTTAAAATCGATTTTTATATGAGAATTCCTAAATCGGCTGTAGTTTCTTAAATAACGCTCCAATTAAGAAATTAACGAAAATCTGTGATCACTCTCATATCCCACCTAAAATCGATTTTTATATGAGAATTCCTAAATCGGCTGTAGTTTCTTAAATAACGCTCCAAATGAGAAAATAACGAAAATTTGTGATCACTCATATTTACGACTTTTATATAGAAGAAAATAGTCCTTAAATAACTGTTTAATTAAGAAAATAATAAGAATCTCTGATCCTTTGATAACGTTTAAGTTTTATATGAAAGACTAAGATCGTCTGTAGTGGTGGTGATTGGTTCTTGATGGTGGAAATTTCAAGTCAATTAAAGTTCAGTGATCTTGGCTTTTAGTTTGCATTTATTCTATGCTCAAGAAAGTGTGACGGACAGTTTTTTTTTTATTATAAATTTAAATTTGTTGTGATTTTTTGTTGTTTTTGTTGTTCATAACTTCCTCATCTCAAATATAAATCCATAAAAATAATATGCATCCCAAGATGCCAAATGGCAATTAAATTATAACGGTTTAAAGTGTAATCAAAACAAAAAATAAAATAAAATAAAAGAAAGAAGGGTTTACAAAAGCAAACATTTAAATAAGAAGATTAACAGTTTTATCCTGATGATGATGATGATGATCTGAAAGAACATAATGATGAAGCAGCGATGTTTGCAAGTAAGCAATTAATTTGCTTTTTTTTTGACATAGAACTTGTTTTGAAAGGATGAGTAGTGAGTAGTAGAGTTTGAAGTCAAAACAAGCCCCCAAACAAATAGAAAGACAAATGCTGAAATCTTGAAATGTTTTGCTTTTCATTTCAGCCATTCATTTGCTAATCTGTTTGGGACTTAAGTCTGGATTTATGCAAATTTTTTTGTGTGTTGATTGTTTTTTTTTTACAACATGCTTTCCAACTGTCATTCTCTCTTGTTTTTTTTTTTCGCTTTTTGTTAAATGGATTTTAAAGTTCTTGACTGTGAATGTTTTTTTTTTTTTTTTTTTTTGTGAATTTTAATAAACTTTTTTCTTTCTTATTTTCTTTATAACGCGTTTGTATGTTTTTTTTTAACTGAAACGTGACTTCTTCGGGGTTTTGTGTATAAATAGGTGCGTTCTGGCCATTAGTATAAACAGTTTTATTCCTACGCGCGTTTAACGCGGTTGTTGTGGATGTTTTTGAAAATAGAATTTGAAAAAATAGAAAGAAGTGTTTGAAAAAAAAGTTTTTTTTTATAAAAAATAATAAAATATACAAAAATTTGTATGAGACTTAACTAAAAAGTAAGAGAAAAAGTGTTCAAGTGTTTTTTTAGAAAAAATAAAAAAAATTCTATCACTAATTTAATGTGTGTCACTAGAATCCTCTATTTTTTATAACTATAAACGTGTTTGGAATATTTAAAACTATATTTTCTTTAAGAAAATATATAAATTTTTTTTTCTATAAATATTGAAAATTTAAATTTTTCTTTATGTTTGTGTCTTAAATCTTTTATTTTAAATATTTAAAGTGTTTTTTTTTTTAAAAAGCTTTCAGTTAACCAAATTAATTCAATACTAATTGCCGTGTTATTTATTGGAGCATTTGTTCATTATTTTGTATTTTTTAACATTTTCATAAAGTTGAAATTTTTATGGGGCCTTAAAAAAGTAACAAATGTTCAATTCAACATGGACTGTATAACAAAAAAACAAAGATCATAAATTTTAAGTCTTTAATAAATTCCTGAAAATTAAAAAAAAACGATCGAGAAATTTAAAAAAAAAACTATAAGTGATCTTAGTTGTTTTAAACTTATGCCAAAGGATCATTACTAAAAGATCACCAGTTGTTTATTTAAGTTAAAATACTAGTGATCTTTATTGATCATATTGGATTTTTCTGTTAAAAATCATTGCTAAAAGATCACATCAAAGATCAGATCAAAAATCTTTAAAGATCATACTTCTTTCTATTGGATTTCTTTCGTGATCGCAGTTTATTTATTCTTTTCTTATACATTTATCTGTAAAAGATCATTATTTAATAATAAGGAAAAATACTAGTGATCTTTATTGATCATATTGGATTTTTCTGTTAAAAATCATTGCTAAAAGATCACATCAAAGATCAGATCAAAAATCTTTAAAGATCATACTTCTTTCTATTGGATTTCTTTCGTGATCGCAGTTTATTTATTCTTTTCTTATACATTTATCTGTAAAAGATCATTATTTAATAATCTCCCTGTATTTTCACATCAAATTTAGAAAAATAACCAGTGATCTTTTTCCCAAATCATCATTATTTAAGTTAAACTACAAGTGATCTTTATTGGATTTTTTAATTTAGAAAGGTTTTTTTTTTCAAAATAGCACTTTAAATCAAATGATCACAGTTTATTGTCCTTTTCTCAGTTTTATGAATCTATTTTCTTATATAATTTTCTCTAAAAGATCGTTTTAACACTCTTCACATGTTTTCACATCAAATTGAGAAGAAGTAACAGTGATTTTTTCCCCAAATCATCATCATTTAAGTTATACTACAAGCGATCTTTATTGATCATACTTCTTTTTATTGGATTTTTTAATTTAGAAAGATTTTTATCAAAATATCACTTTAAATCAAGTGATCGCAGTTCTTTTCTCAGTTTTATGAATCTGTTTTCTTATACACATTTCTCTAAAAGATCGTTATTTAATAAGCTTCCGATATTTCCACATCAAATCGAGAAAATAACAGTGACCTTTTCCCCAAATCATCTACATTTAAGTAAAATACTAGTGATCTTTATTTCTATAGGATTTTCAGTTAAAAATGATTTTATGAAAATATCACTTTAAATCAAGTGATCAAAGTTTATTATCCTTTTCTCTAAAAGGTTATTATTTTATAATCTCCAGGCATTTCAAGTGATCTTTAATAGACATGATTTTTACATTTGGATTTTTATTAAAAAAATATCGATCACTGATCATTTTTGTTTTTTTAATTATATTACTTTTAAATGATTCTGTTTTTCTATATATATTTTTAAAAATTTTCTATGAAAAGATCTAATTTTTATATAAAATTAATCTCAGAAACTTTTTATAGTAAAAAATTTTTAAAGAAAATATTACTGAGAAGATCGTGTTTAGAAAATTTTGATGTTTTCTAAATCGAAGCGTCATTTAAAGATCTAGAAATATGAGTGATCACAAATTTTAACTATTTTTCTCAATTGCAGCGTCGATCGGAGTGTTGTTAGAGGATCTAATGCCGATCTTATGTTTTCAATATAAACGTGTATTTCAGGTGGGAAATATGGATGATCGCAGATATTCACCATTTTATATTGGGATTTGAGGATCTATAGCAGATTTCAGGTGGGAAAAACGAGTGATCGCAGTTTTTCACTATTTTCTCAATAGGAGCGTTATTTAGGTTTTGCTAGAATATAAGAACGATCAAAGATTTTCAATATTATTACAATCGGAGCATTATTTAAGGAACTACTATCGTTTTTGGGATTTTCATATAAAAGTAGATTTTTAGTAGAAAATAAGAGTGATCGTTATTTAAGGATCTACAGCCGAAATAGTACTAAGATTCAAGTAAAAAATGGGACTTTATAAAGACCTACAAATGAAGCCAAACAGGTAATATATAAAAAGTCCATATAAAGCCCAGCACATGAAGCAAAACGGGGACTATATAAAGACATGCAATTGAAACTGAAATGTATCTAAATAGAGGGCTTTAAGTGGCACTATAACACTATATTAAGACCTTACACAGGGACTATAGAATTGTGTAAATATCAATTCCTAATTGATTATTATTTATTTTCTTAAATAGGTTTAAGGTCTTCTATATAAAAGAAACAATAAGGAAATAGTATATAAAACCTATAAAAATTTAATTTCCTTATAGAAAATGAAGATGATAATTTATAAATTAAGGAAGTTTAGTTAAGTACGTATAATACAATTTTCATGGATTTAATAAATTTACATTTAGTTGTTATTAAATCATAAAGTAATAAAGATTATTTAAGTATTGTACATGACTAATAATTTTATTACAAATATTTCCCTTTCTAATGTTTACTAAACATTGTTAAAGGAAAAGTTTCCAAGAAATAGTTAAGTAAAGAAACTGTCAGTTAAAAGCTTAGGCTAAGTGACAGCTGTCACAAAAGGCTTTAAGTTATAAAATTAGTTAAATACCTTCTTTCGTAAGATTGTTTAAACCTGGTTCTGTTCAAGTTCAGTTCTAGTTCAGTTCTAGTTCAGTTCTAGTTCAGTTCTAGTTCAGTTCTAGTTCAGTTCTAGTTCAGTTCTAGTTCAGTTCTAGTTCAGTTCTAGTGTTCTAGTCAGTTCTAGTTCAGTTCTAGTTCAGTTCTAGTTCAGTTCTAGTTCAGTTCTAGTTCAGGTTCTAGTTCAGTTCTAGTTCAGTTCTAGTTCAGTTCTAGTTCAGTTCTAGTTCAGTTCTAGTTCAGTTCTAGTTCAGTTCTAGTTCAGTTCTAGTTCAGTTCTAGTTCAGTTTCTAGTTCAGTTCTAGTTCAGTTCTAGTTCAGTTCTAGTTTCAGTTCTAGTTCAGTTCTAGTTCAGTTCTAGTTCAGTTCTAGTTCTAGTTCAGTTCTAGTTCAGTTCTAGTTCAGTTCTAGTTCAGTTCTAGTTCAGTTCTAGTTCAGTTCTAGTTCAGTTCTAGTTCAGTTCTAGTTCAGTTCTAGTTCAGTTCTAGTTTCAGTTCTAGTTCAGTTCTAGTTCAGTTCTAGTTCAGTTCTAGTTCAGTTCTAGTTCAGTTCTAGTTCAGTTCTAGTTCAGTTCTAGTTCAGTTCTAGTTCAGTTCTAGTTCAGTTCTAGTTCAGGTTCTAGTTCAGTTTCTAGTTCAGTTCTAGTTCAGTTTCTAGTTCAGTTCTAGTTCAGTTCTAGTTCAGTTCTAGTTCAGTTCTAGTTCAAGTTCTAGTTCAGTTCTAGTTCAGTTCTAGTCAGTTCTAGTTCAGTTCTAGTTCAGTTCTAGTTCAGTTCTAGTTCAGTTCTAGTTCAGTTCTAGTTCAGTTCTAGTTCAGTTCTAGTTCAGATCTACACAGATGGAAAAAGAAATATACACGCTTGGTACCAAATTGGCACCAAAGAGTTTGTAATTTTTCAATAACAACCGTTGTCAAAGTATATACATACGTACGACAACACTATGTCGCAACGTTGTCAACATTGCAACAATTCGTTGTCGAAATCTAAATTTTTTACACATACGTTGTCTAAATGTTAACAAACGTGGTAAGTTCACTATTGCAAACAATCCGTTGCCAATAGTGAGCTTACCACGTTTGTTAACATTAGACAACGTATGTGTAAAAAATTTAGATTTCGACAACGAATTGTTGCAATGTTGACAACGTTGCGACATAGTGTTGTCGTACGTATGTATATACTTTGACAACGGTTGTTATTGAAAAATTACAAACTCTTTGGTGCCAATTTGGTACCAAGCGTGTATATTTCTTTTTCCCTCTGTGTAGTTCAGTTCTAGTTCAGTTCTAGTTTAGTTCTAGTACAGTTCTAGTTCAGTCTAGTTCAGTTCTAAAGCATTCTAGTTACTAAATCAGTTCTAGTTCAGTTCAGGTCTAGTTCAGTTAGTTCAGTTCTAGTTCAGTTCTAGTTCAGTTCTAGTTCAGTTCTAGTTCAGTTCTAGTTCAGTTCTAGTTCAGTTCTAGTTCAGTTTCTAGTTCAGTTCTAGTTCAGTTCTAGTTCAGTTCTAGTTCAGTTCTAGTTCAGTTCTAGTTCAGTTCTAGTTCAGTTCTAGTTCAGTTCTAGTTCAGTTCTAGTTCAGTTCTAGTTCAGTTCTAGTTCAGTTCTAGTTCAGTTCTAGTTCAGTTCTAGTTCAGTTCTAGTTCAGTTCTAGTTCAGTTCTAGTTCAGTTCTAGTTCAGTTCTAGTTCAGTTCTAGTTCAGTTCTAGTTCAGTTCTAGTTCAGTTCTAGTTCAGTTCTAGTTCAGTTCTAGTTCAGTTCTAGTTCAGTTCTAGTTCAGCTAGTTCAGTTCTAGTTCAGTCTTAGATTAGTTCCAATTCACTTCCTGTTCAATTCTAGTTTAGTTGTAAAAACTAATTCATTGCTCTAAGTCCCGGTGATTTCTAGAGGTAATCTTTAACTCTTTGACAGTTAATTAAACCTAAAATAGAAATTTGTTAATCATTGCTCTAGAAAATTTATGACTTTTGATCTTAATTGAAACCTATTTTAATATTTTCACCAAACTTAAAAGTCACGTATTATAATCTTATCGTTAGTAAGCCTTTCAGAAAAAAAAT